CCCTACACATATCACCATATCTAACATCGTATTAACCATCATATTCATCTCATCATCATAAATCGTCACAAGGACTCACATAAAAACACTCAAAACATCATATATATCAAATTCTTCACAATGACTCATATATTCACGTTAAATTAATTAAATAATTAATTAATCTAGAATTCAGGATGTTACATTTCTTGTTTGGACAAGTTTGGTTTTTCATTCATAAAAGAACAATTGTTGCTCCATTTATTTGAATGATATATTATATGCTTATGCACAAATGAACAATGGATTGTATGTCCTTGATCTTGAAATGCCAATTTATAACATTAATACTAAAATGATTAACCCTAATGAGTTAAATCCAAATTACCTTTGGTATTGTCGCTTAGGCCACATAAATGAGAAAGGCATTTCCAAACTCCATAAAGATGTACTCTTGGACTCTTTTGATTATGAATCATATGAGGCATGCATATCTTGTTTAATTTGAAAGATGACAAAGTCCTGATTCACAAGAAAAGGTGAAAGGAATAATGATCTATTGGACCTCAACATACTGATGTATGTGGACCACTGAACATACCAGCCAGAGGAGGTTTTCAATACTTTATCATATTTACTAATGATTCAGTAGATATGGTTATGTGTATTTAATGAAACACAAATCCAAAACCTTTGAAAAATTCAAGGAATTCATGAATGAAGTACAAAACCAACTAGGTAAGAATATTAAAGTTCTTAGATCCGATCGAGGAAGTGAATATTTAAGCCTAGAGTTTGATGACCATCTAAAGGAATGTGGGATTCTATCCCAACTTATTCCTCCAGGAACACCACAATGGAATGACGTATCTGAGAGAAGAAATCGAACCTTGTTAGACATGGTTTGATCCATGATGAGTCACACAAATCTTCCAAACTCCTTTTAGGGATGTGCACTATTGACATCAGCTTACACACTTAACTGTGTTCCATCCAAAAAGGTTGAGAAGACACCATATGAGATATAGAGTGGTAAGAAACCACATATATCTTACATGAAGATTTGGGGTTGCGAAGTTTATGTGAAATGACAAATTTTGACTAAGCTTGAGCACAAATCTGACAAATGCTTATTTGTGGGGGTATCCTAAAGAAACAAGAGGGTATTACTTCTATAATCCTTTTGAGGGAAAAGTGTTTGTCGCTCGAACTGGAGTTTTTCTGGAAAAGGAATTTATTTCCAAAGGAATCAGTGGGAGGAAATTAGAGCTTGAAGAAATTCAAGAATCACAAAGAATTGATACACCTATGGAGGAATTAGAGCAGGAAACACAAGAAGTTGTGGAAGAGTAACCTGCTCAAGTAGAACAAGATCGATGTAGGTCAATCAGGATACGTCACCAACCTGATAGATATGGATATCTCATAAGTGATCAAGGTGATGTATTACTCATGGATCAAGATGAGCTTGTGACCTACCAAGAGGCTATAATTGGTCCTGAGTCTGAGAAGTGGCTAGAAGCCATGAAATCTGAAATGGATTCCATGTACACAAACCAAGTTTTGACCTTGGTAGAGCCTCCTGTAGGAGTTAAACCTATAGGATGCAAGTGGGTCCTCAAAAATAAGACTGACATGGATGGTAAGGTACATGCGTATAAGTCAAGACTAGTTGCAAAAGGCTATAAAAATCATGAGGTTGACTATGATGAACCCTTTTCATCAGTTGAAATGCTTAAATCTATTCGAATTTTACTTGTTATCGCTGCATATCATGATTATGAAATATGGCAGATGGATGTCAAAACTGCTTTCCTTAATGGGAAACTTCTTAAGGATGTGTACATGACACAACTTGAAGGATTTGGAATACCAGAAGAAGCCCAAAATATATGCATGTTAGAGCGATCAATCTATGAATTGAAGCAAGCTTCCAAAAGCTGAAATATTCATTTTGATGAAACAGTAAAACAATATGGATTCATATAGAATGAAGATGAGCCTTGTATCTACAAAAAGGTTAGTGGGAGCATGCTCATCTTCTTGATATTATATGTAGATGACATATTACTCATTGGAAACGATGTCCCTACCTTGCAACAAGTAAAGACTTGGTCGGGGAAATTATTTTCTATGAAGGACCTAGGTGAAGCAGCATATATATTAGGAATCAGAATCTATATAGATAGATCACAAAAACTGCTTGGCCGAAGTCAGAGTACATATATAGACAAAGTGTTAAGACGCTTTAATATGCATGATTCCAAGAAAGGATTCATACATATGCAACATGACCTTTGTTTATCAAAAACACAATCCCCTTCATCTAAGGAAGAAAAGGATCGCATGAATAAGATTCCATATACATCTGAAATTGGACCTATCATGTATTCCATATTATGTACTCGACCAGATGTCTCGTATGCTTTAAGTGCAACGAGTAGGTACCAATCTGATCCGAGTGATGCTCATTGGGTAGTTGTCAAGAATATCCTTAAGTACTTGAGAAGGACTAAGGACTCATTCTTGATATATGGAGGTCGGGAAGAGCTTGTTGTAATTGGATACAACGATGCTAGCTTCCAGACATATAAGGATGACTTTAGATCGCAATCTAGTTATGTGTTCTGCTTAAATGGTGGCTCCGTGAGCTGGAAAAGTTCAAAGCAATATACAGTTACTGATTTTACAACTGAGGCCGATTATATTACTGCCTCAAATGCAATAAAGGAAGTTATTTGGATCAAGAAGTTCATTAGTGAACTTTGCATAGTTCCTAGCGTTGTGGATACCATTGATCTCTATTGTGATAACAATGGTGCTATCGCACAAGCTAAGGAGTCTAACTCTCACCAACGATCCAAACATATACTTAGGAGTTATCACGTCATTCGAGAGATAATCGATCCGGGAGATGTGAAGATATGAAGAGTACCTACACTTGATAATATTGCTGACCCACTAACAAAGCCTCTTGCGTAGCAGAAGCATGATGGCCATACTAGATCTATGGTCATTAGGGGTATGTCTGATTGGCTCTAGTGCTAGTGGGAGATTATTGGTATAAGCTCTAGAGGCCAATACTTTTTGTACTTGTATCAAATTATTTATTAATAATAAAAGGAATTTCTTTATTATGTTTGCTTTTCCAAAATAATAAAATTCCTAGAATAGTTCGTCTGCTTAATGAAATATTAAGTGTGACTTAATCATGAGATCCCATTAAACATAAGGACATTATTCTTAAAGTATCCGTAGTCGATCTTTATTGCAAAGTGGGATAACATTAAAGCATTGAGATTATTATGTAGATAGACCGATGATCACATCTCATGGATCATGGATAAGGAGTTATCAAGTCTTGACATAGGTATGAATATTAGGAGTAATATTTATACTAGATTGACCCGCTATGAGAATACTACATAGAATATTATGCAAGGTGTCATAAGTTATTCTCATGGTGATAATTGTGTATACCACCCTTCGACCTGAAACCACTATGGACCCTAGATGTAGAGTTAAGTACTTTATTGTTGATCAAACATTATTTGTAACTAGATGACCATAAAGACAGTTTATGGGTACTTCACAAAACATGTTGAGGGACATGGGTGACCTAAAAAGAATTTTCCCATCCTGTATAACATGATAAATGTCTAAGGGCCCAATATTGAACTGGACAAGGATGACACGGTCTATGCCTTGTGTTTAATATAGACATAAGGGGAAAAAGGTAATTGTACACGCAAATATTATCACATAAAGGTTTTGTCATATCCATGACATTTCCGTGACTTAGGTAGCAGAGATGTGTTGCTAGATACCACTCACTGTTTATTATGTTAAATGTGTGATTTAATATAACTGTCAATGTCACGAAAACCTACTGGGTCACACACATAATGACATGTTAATGAGAGATAGACTAAATAAGGAACATTGTAAGGTACGGTGCACTTAAGAGAATTGTAGAATACCGTAAGATACAATATGCTTAAGTGGAATACGGAATGTGATAAGGTACCACACGCTTAAGTGATATACGGTATTGTCATACCCCAAATTTACATGCCCTTTATCACTACGGTTGAAATTAATTTCAAACTTGAATTTTTATAAAATTCTTTTGATTTACATTAATATTTTGAGGTTTTATAAATATTCGTTCTCAAGTCCAGTTAAAAATATAATAATTTATTTTTAAAATAGCAAACATCTACGACCTTTCATATACTTTCAATTGGATTTATTTACAAATGGGTAACATAACACAATTGGAAAAGAATGAAGCTTGCGAATCTCCTCTATAAATAGGACTATTGTTGTCCTAATTTCTCATCTAAAATTTCTCACAAATCACAATTTTCTATTTATATGTTTTAGCCGATGATTAAATTGAGGCCACCCTGATATTTTCAACTTTTTTTTTTAAATTTGTAGTTGTTTCAACTATATGATGAATCCTAATGAATGTTTTCGAAATTATATGTTTTTAAAAATCGATAAAACTAACATTCTCTTATAGAATACTATTGTATATTCCACACACAAAAACCTGTGTTTTTTTTACTTTGTCAAAATAATCACAATTTTTATCATCAAAATAAATCACTTTTCCTTAGTATGATTTTTTTTAGTCAAAACCTTTGTTCTGAAGATACATACTTTTTACACAAATCTATTCACAAATCATTCAAATCTTTCAACCAAAATCACAATCAACTCAACAGAAAATCAAACACCCAAGACCATCAACATATTCATCAACTTCCAATCATTTTTTTATTCCCAAACCACCAAACCGGTAATCTGTTTTCACAAACAATCCTTCAGAACTAAACTCATATTTTTCATAAGAATACTAACCTGTTCTAACAAACAATTACAATAACATTTGTTTATAATTTTTTTTTGCTTTGTTGCAACAACTCAAAATCAAGGTTAGAATTGAATCTGAAACGGATGCGAGATCGGAAAGCAAGACGAAACAGAAGTGGCAAGAACAGAGAAACAAAAAAATGGAAGTTTACAACGTATCCACATACGGTCCTCTTCACCGTCCAATACGTCACCGTTCATCCATAACCGCCGTAAAACCATTGCAACCAATGAAGCTTCTACTCCACCACACTCATCCTTTGCATAGTATCACAGATTCGATCACGATAACTCCGATCCGCACCCATATCGTTTTCGGCGCTTTCTCCGACTACTCTGTTCTCCGCAACGAGAGATTGAGAAGATGAGGACGGTACAAGACTTGGGTAATAAAGGGTTTGTTTTATCTCTTTATATTTCAACGTTGTATTATTTAATTTTTTTATTATTTATATCTTTAGCCACGTGTCATATCATGATTGGTGTGTTTTTTTTTATGGTTCACATGATCTCTTTAAATAGAAACAGTAGAAAGGAAAATTTGTGTAACATAGAGGTTAAACATTTTTTTTAGGTGTTCCTATTTTTTTATTTTATATATAATTTTTCTGATGTTTGATTAGTGTTAGAATATTAGGTTTTGGTCTAGTAACTGGGACTTTAATTAGAGTTAAGCCCATTCTCTTATTTACCTAGTAGTATCGACAATTTAATATATGCACCCCTAATGTTATTTAGTTAATTTTATTTAGTTTGGGTTAATTTTATTCTTGACTAAATTTAGATTTAATTTAGAAATAATAATAATAATAATAAATTCTTATCAAAAATAAAATTAATTTAATATTTTACATCAAAATATTTAAACTCACGCGACTAATCAAATACTCCATCTACGAGCGACACATGGCTAATATTTGGCCACGTGATAAGGGAGACTTTATCAGACTCCCTTCGTATCCTTCATGACGAGCGACACGTGACCAATATCTGGCCACGTGAGGAGAAAGACTTTATCAGATTTTCTCTGCTCTACGTCTTAATATAACTAATCAATCAAACATCAAAACAGCTAACCAACATCAAATCATTTTCTACTAACATAATCAAAAACCAAAGATATTTTAGAAAAAGGATTAAATAGAATTACTTTCAAAATTAATTGCGAACCGCGTCTACGATCACTCAATTTACAACCTAGACAAGGTTCAAGGATAATTCGAAATCAATTCTATGCAAGCCATAAAAGCACCAACCAACCGCGAACTACGAATTGGGACTCTAATTCCTCATCAGAGGATATGTAGGCATACGACTAAAATCGTGGCAAGTTCCCCTAATAAAATTAAAACCCTATTTTCTATGCCGAAATTCTAAACTCTAGTATCCTTGTTAACAAAGTAGATAAGGGGTGCCTAGCACCTTCCCTTCGTCTAAGAACGAGTTCAACAACTTATTATCTCTGACCAAATTAGGGTTATCCTTTATATTCCCCTCCCAAGGATAAAAATTAAGGGCGACGACTCTTATTTTAAAATCGGTTACAACAGGTACATCATAAGGTATGATCCCTGTAAGCTTAATTGAGCTTTTAGCTTGCAGCCTTAATTGAGCTTTTAGATTGCAGCCCACACAAGTGGTTTTGTAAATAGAACCCTTGTGATGAAGCATTTTCATTGGATGAAAATTCGGTCTTGAAATCCTAGTCGTATTTTCACTCACTCTCTCACTCAAAGTTTTCGTTCGTAAGCAGCTAGCATTATGACCGGAATCGATTTGTTCGTGTGGACTGAGTAGAGGCTTCATCAACACTCGTGACCATAACATCAAAGGTCTGAATCACCACAAGAGGTAATAGTTTCTATCACCGACCATGCCCATTCGTAATGATCACTAAAGGAAAATTTTAGGCTTAAATGCACTTTTAGCCCCCCTATAATTATTTCCTTAAATTTTTAGTCCCCCTTTAAAAAAAACCAGCTATTAGGTCCCCCTATTTCATTTTTGGTGAATTTTTGTTGGTCCCTGGCCATTTGTCTCATATTATAATGACATGACACTCCAATATGAACTCGGTCACATGCCATATCATTTAAAAATATAATTATTCATTTTTGTTTTTATTTTTATTTTTTATTTTTCCAGAAATAACTTATATAATTATATTAAATATAATAAGATTACTTCACTCCAACTCCTCATATTCCTCATTCTACCATTGTCGTTACTTCTTCTTCTCCAAGTGGAAACCCTAAAACTGTTAGCTTTCAGAATCGGAGAAGATCATCAGCAAAATCCATAACTTGTTGCAGTGTATCAACCACCACCTTCATCCAAGACGCACGAAGATGACAAGTTCTGTTTCAGGTATGTATTTTTGTTTGATGTCTATGCAAGTGGTCCCAAAGTGTCTTGTTCCCTAATTGTTGTCTGTGGTCCCAACATTTTTAACCCTATTTATTTATCCTAAAAGTTGACTGTGGTCCCAATGTGTGTCAACCGTAATTGTTTAATCTAAAACTCTAACAATGAAATTTGTTGTATATAGGTCGCCTACTGAACATAAAGTTAGGCTCAAAATTCACCATCGGGGCACACTTGTGCATCATCCTGTTAAATGGTATCTAGACGGATTAGTAATAGAAATGACTTGGGGTTGGGATGTTGATTATATGTCTTACATGGAGTTGGAGAAATTGATTCATGAGGTGGGATATACAAGCATAAAGCGTCTTTGGTATTTCAATCCTAGGCTTAGCTTTGCTAGTGGTCTTACACCTATAGAAAATGATAAGGATGTTATAAAATTTGCTAAAGGGGTTGAGGGATTTGAGTTGGTTGATTTCTATGTTGAGCATGGTGTTTATATCCCTGATATACTAGATGAGGCTGAGTTGGGACAGGATGGACCAACCTATGATAATGATGATATGGATGTGGATGAGGGTCATAATAATGTCGAGGGTGATAAGGATGTTGAGGTTCCAAAATATGTTGAGGGTGATAAGAATGATGAGGTTGATAAGACTCTTGAGTTTGAAAATGATGATGATGTTTCTAATAATGCTGAGAGCGATAAGGATGATGAGGTTCCAAAAAATGCTGAGGGTGATAAGAATGATGAGGTTGTTAAGACTGCTGAGTGTGATAGTGATAATGTTGAGATGGAGGGTGATTCTGATGATGATGTTGACATTCTGGGTGATTCTAATGATGATTCTATATACTTTGATTGGACTGCATGCTTACCTATCGAGACATCATAAGTACCAATTGAGAAAGTTGTGTATGAGGATTCAGATTAGCTATACACTCCACCTGCTAGTAAAGACGAACAAGAGTATGAACACTTTCCTAATTTCCAAAGTTTTGAGACACAATTGTTCAAATTAGGCTTGACATTTAACAATAAGGATGTCATAAAGGATGTTGTCAAAGAGTATGCATTGGTCCACAAAAAATGTGTGGTTCAAAAAGAATGATGGAAAAAGGATGGTGGTCAATTTCCAAGAGGGGTGTAAATTCTACATGAGGTTTTGTAAGAGGCTTGGAAATAAATTTTGGCAAATTACTAGTTTGTTTGATAAGCATACTTTTCTAGGTTTGCAAGCAACAGACAAGCCAAGACTGGATGGTTGGCAAAGAAATTTTCCCATATACTTAGACACACTCCAAACATGAAACCAAGTGGGTTAATAGCTGTAGAAATTGAAAGATGAGGTGTGAAGCTGTCAATTGATCAAGCTTACATAGCTAAGAGAAGAGCAATAAGATTGATACAAGGTGCTGAGAGGGTTCAATTTACACATCTAAGGAGTTATGCACAAGAATTATTGAATTCAAACCCTAACAACAGTGTTATATTGCAAAGGCAAAAGAGCTGCAGATAGAGCCATAACTCTTGGTGGGAACAAGAAGGAAAAGACCAAGGACAAGACAAAGGCAAAGGCAAAAAAAAAAAAGACTAAGACAAAGGAAAAGGCAAAGACTAAGACTAAGACAAAGGCAAATGTAAAGAATAAGACTAATGCTGTAACTGAAATTGGAACATCATCTCAGGGTCCTCCTGTTACACAACCAACTCAAGAGTAGTTGTATGACATGACTATAATGTTAAGTGTTTTGTAAAGTCATGAACAAGTTTCTGTCATGAACTTATGTTATCTTATTTTGGTATTATCTTATTAAGTTATGTTCTGCTTATGAATGTCTTATGTCATGATGTTATTTTGTGTATGTATCATGTTAACTTGCCTTGTAAAAACAAGCTAATGAATCTAATGAAGTTGTTATTTTTATTATGAGTTATGATTTCATTTATGTTACTTTGTTCAATCCACTAGTTATATTCATTACAATTAACTTCAAACTAGTACAAGGTTAACAAAAATCAACACCTCCATTTCATTTCAAACCAATAAAAACACTTAGTTGATTACAACTATCCAACAACTGTCAACACTAATCCTAAGTTGACAACATAAACTTAAGCCCAAGTTTACACCAATTGAAAACACTACTTCATTACATTTGATAACACTAATCCTATTGCCAAAACAAATGTTATTGAAACAAAGAATTTCATTATTAAGTTCATTAAATTAAACTTTGTCTTCACTTCAGCTACTTTGATATTAGCTTCATCCACTTTTGCCCTTTCTTGATCTAACTTTTTTTGTAGTGAAGTGATAATATCCTTAGCTCTTGAAGACATTTCAACATCATACCAAAAAAATGGCTACACCTTTTATAACCATGTACCTGTAAGTAAAACAACACAAATGAGTGAATCTATGCCCAAACACAAAAGACCTACACCCAAAAAAAACTTGTAAATAAGACATGGACAATACCTTATACATCCCACACCCAAAAAAACGTCGACCTGAGTTGGAATCGGTCCATAAAGTCATTAACGGAGCTTCAAGCCCACACCTGCACTCGCTTCAAAAATGACATGAACGCGTAGCTCCGACACTACTAGCTTTCGTGTATTGAGACATCTTCAACACACGATAGTGTAAAACGAAAAGGGAAGAAGAAGTATGGAAGACGAAAATGTAATCGAAGGAGGAAGAAGAAGTATGAAATACTTGCAACGAAGAAGAAGTATGGAAGACAGAAACGTAAGAGAAGGAGGAAGAAGAAGTATGGAATACTTGCAACGAAGGAGAAGGACCGAAGATTTACAAGGAAGAAGAAGGACATATACAAATTTATAACCTAATTTTAATCTTATTATATTCAATATAATTATATAAATCATTTCTAGAAAAGTAAAAAATAAAAATACAAAAAAAAATAATAATTATATTTTTAAATGATGTGGCATGTGACTGGATTCATATTGGGGTTTCATGTCATTAAA